TGACAAGTCCTAAATTAGTGACATTATCTTAAGTTTTTGAAATGTAATATTAATTAATCCAAAATTTAATCGAGTGACCATATATATTTTTTGTCTCAAATTCATTTTCTACTAACATTCAGTGACCATTATTTTATACACTATGTTTTTCTTAACTTATGTATATTCATAAGTAGTTAATGACCACAATTTTATGACCACCAAATTTCTTAATGACCACTTAGTGAGCCGTTAGTGACGACAATGATAGTATTATCATTAAATTTAATGTAAATAATTACTCAAACCGCATGTAAACCGCATAAACCGCGCGCACCAAACCGCACCGCATAATGCGGTTTTGAACGTTTGCGGTGCGGTTTGCGGTTTCTAAATAACTCAAACCGCATGTGCGGTGCGGTTTGCGGTTTTGGCTCTAAACCGCACCAAACCGCACCGCGCACACCCCTACAAACACTCAATGTAATAAGACCAAAGATATTGTTTAAAAACCCAACACATCAAATGCGTCAAAGTTGTCCAAAAGACTTTCTTAGCATACGCATGAAACACACCTTCTATTAAAAAGAAAGATCATTATCACAATAATATATCTTTAAATTATTTATAACTCAACTTATTATTTATATAGTAAAATAGACAGGGGTGTTGAGATTCAACCTAACACATACAAAACTTTCATTTGACCCGCTATCCAACTTAATAATTTTGCCTATCTACATGCATAACAAATTGTTCCACCACCCTGCCCATCACAAGAACAAATATCTATTCATTTAACATCGAAACTATATTGTTAAATAAAATATTGAGTAAATTACACAAATCATTCATGTATTAAAAAAGCATGTTTACTTCTTAATTTTAAAAATTAACTCAGACCGTCTCCATCATCCCCAGGTTTCCATTTTCTTATACGATCAGTCCATATCGTTGTTAGACATTGGTTGCTTCCATTTAAGTGCCCCAAAGACACGTTCAATCTCTTGTTTCTTTTAAATTTTATTTTTAGTCTATTGTTTCTTTTAAATGATTATATTCCCATTTTCTATTTATTTCTCATTTATTTATAATTTATCAATTAAATAATGTTGATTATAAATTTTATAAACCTCTCTCTCTCAAATCCGACAACCACTTCCGATCATCGCGGCAACCATTTCATGTCACCGTCAACACCTCCTCCGACCACCACCGAATATGATACTAGAACCCGAATCTAATACTCAAACCCAAATCGGATACTAGAACCAAAATCTAAAACCTATAATCAACATCAAATCCTAATCTAAAACCTTCCCGAATTCCACCATTTTTTATATTTACTTAATGCATTA